AGCCATTTTGTAGAGTTTATTTTTCTGAAAATATTGACGTTTCAAAATTTTATTTTTATTAATTTTCTGATTTTTAATATTTTTTTTTAGTTTCGAGAAAAATTGCGAATTTTTGAACACCATAATGTTATCAATCATGTGACCCACCATGCCGCGYGCATTCCCATACGGCTGGCCGAATACTTTCCGTGTTCCTAATAATTATAAATTTACAATCATAATTTATTTCTTCGAAACTGGAAAAAGTATTAAAAATCAAGAAATTAATGAAAATAAAATTCATATTTTTTAAATATCAATAATAAACATTTGAGTATAAAATTTGATTAAAACATCCAAATTCGTTGAAAAAAAATATGATAGAATTGGATAATTAAATATTTTTTATTTTTTTATTTAGTACTCTCAGCGTAAAMTATTATAGTTCGACAATTACTTTAATAGTTTATGGTGAAAGTATTAAAAAAAAAAAAAAAAAATTATAAACAATTGTATAACTTTTTTTTTTACATCAAATATTCGTCAAGCACGTTGACAAGTTATCACTCAACATATACCTATATATAAACTTAAGCCAAACATTTTTAAGAACTTTAAAAATTTGATTATACACGTCCTATATTTATCTTTAAGCAACAATATAATATACCTAATACATAAAAAAAAAACACTCTAGACGCCAAATAATATATAATTTGTATACGATATTTACTTTATACCATATTATAATGTGTATATAATAGCATTGTAAAATGTTAGCCGTCACAGTTTAATGCATGTCGTCGATTATCAAGTGTTGGCATTTATATTATATAACGAGTGCTAATACATAATATGTTGATGGGACCGATGTGGGTCCGTGTAAGTCAGATTTCACACGGATTCGGTATAGGCAAGTACCACGTTTCGGTATATACATATAGTCGATTTGCGCTACCCAACCGTTACATTGCGGGTATCAGTCCGGCGTGTCATTTCATCTAACCGCTTTTTAGACACGCGGTAAATAAACGTGCCGGATCGAAATACGATTTAAACATATACGTAACACGCGCGCGCTTGAAATCTCAATTATTGCATTAACTGCTGCTGCTGCTGCTGTACCGTCTTTGCACATATCGAAAACCTCGGCGAATATATTACAATATTAATCACAGTACACGCCTTTCACTAACTATGGCAAATAATAATGAGATATGTACACTTCCCTCATATGGAATATATAATTTTTAATAACAATGTTTCAGGTACATGTTATTATTGTATACTAGCTGGTATCTTCATTAATTAATATTACCAATNCACTCTAGACGCCAAATAATATATAATTTGTATACGATATTTACTTTATACCATATTATAATGTGTATATAATAGCATTGTAAAATGTTAGCCGTCACAGTTTAATGCATGTCGTCGATTATCAAGTGTTGGCATTTATATTATATAACGAGTGCTAATACATAATATGTTGATGGGACCGATGTGGGTCCGTGTAAGTCAGATTTCACACGGATTCGGTATAGGCAAGTACCACGTTTCGGTATATACATATAGTCGATTTGCGCTACCCAACCGTTACATTGCGGGTATCAGTCCGGCGTGTCATTTCATCTAACCGCTTTTTAGACACGCGGTAAATAAACGTGCCGGATCGAAATACGATTTAAACATATACGTAACACGCGCGCGCTTGAAATCTCAATTATTGCATTAACTGCTGCTGCTGCTGCTGTACCGTCTTTGCACATATCGAAAACCTCGGCGAATATATTACAATATTAATCACAGTACACGCCTTTCACTAACTATGGCAAATAATAATGAGATATGTACACTTCCCTCATATGGAATATATAATTTTTAATAACAATGTTTCAGGTACATGTTATTATTGTATACTAGCTGGTATCTTCATTAATTAATATTACCAATRGAGTAAGTAATTATTAAATTTAGATTTCCACGGGATACARTTTTTAATAATCAAAAAATTATACTGTTTTACAATATAATTTGAAATTTCTATCAAATATTATATTAAAATATTTTGAATGAGACAATTTTTTAATTTTTCAAGAAAATGTGAATTTATGTTTAATTTGATATAATAATAATGCATCTATATGGATGCATGGATAGTATTATCATTTATCATTGATTAAAGTATATAGTATTTATGACCAATGGTATCTACTGTGTACCTACATATTTATCAACGTGTTTTAAATCCAATAATTACCTATATGTCTAAGTAGATACAGAATATTGAACACTGATTGTCAAAGCCACTATGCCGCAGTTTAAATTATTATTATTATTGAGATATTTTCTCCGTGATTTATTTACGCCACGGGGTGACACGCCGAATGCATATTCGATTTTATTTTACCCTTTTCCTTATACACAATATGTAATAATATATACATATATCATATATCATATATCATGATGCGAATAGTCTGCTAGGCGTTCGCATTGTCCGCGATATTAACGATGGGGGGGGGGAGGTGGTGGAAATGCCGTACACCCCATTTACCCCTATAAACGATACATACATACACTCACACATCAAAATTCTATATAATATCGTATTGTATATTATGTGTGCTATACATACATAGTGTTCTTCGCGAGAAAACGGGGTCAACGGGGGAGCCATTTTGTCGGGCGCGGAAACCATTTATTGAGGGGCCTATGCACATATAAAATCCGTAGCCAATCCTATGATTAATATTTGTTCGACTAAACAAAGACGCGTACGCACACACACACACACACACACACGTGCAAACGTGCGCGCGCACACACATGCATAAACGTATTAAATATTATAAATTATATATATATAAAAATTGGTGCACGATGCTGATATACAATATATTTATATAAATTTCTCTCTCTCTCTCTCTCTCTCTCTCTATATATATATATATATATATGTATACGCATCGTTCATTGATGGAGTCAAGAATACACGAGTTCTGTGTTGTGGAAAAATAATAATTAAGGAGGGGATTCGCGTTTTCGAAACGCCTTTTTAGTTAATGATTGATGACGTAAATATACACTATTATTATTATTTTTATTATATGCGTTCTATAAAGTATAATGAACCGTGCCCGCGCCCCGCGCGTATTATACATATTATATATCATCATGATGATGGGATCCCCCTCCTCATTTACGAGTCCGTTGTTTGATTTGTAACGATTTTATTGATTTTATTAAAAAAATTCACACATCTAGTTACAACTACCGCTCGGCACCGCTAACGAGAATATTTAGGGTGGCCACCACCACCACCACGACCGCCTAACCACGGCATTTGACGATGTTATATTATTTTATATGAGTAGATATTCTATTTAAATAGGTAGATTGGTACCTACAGTCTACACGTTACATTATCGATATATACTATTATATTCAGGTCTTATATATATTTAACGTGGGGCGTCGAACCCGCGTGTGTTTATCTCTACCTTATATAATCGTAGGTTAGGGAGTTTACCAATTGCGCTTAAAATTACCTTTTCATATACCAATTGCGCTCTAAACATTTAAGGGTCGATATACCAATT